GACTTTAGCCTTCAATGGTCGAAATGATTTCGACCATTTCGACCATTTCGGATATCCAAAATGATCCATTTCGACTTCATGTATAGACGTGGTATATCAGATTATTTATAAATAGGATTTTTTTGAATGATGTGATGCTAGGTAGAATCTATTTCGTTTACATAATACCTCTTATACTACTTAATAAGATCTGGAATAATATTTAATTAGTATCCTGGCATATGATTTAGGTTATTTTCATAGGATTGCTCTATACAGTATCCAGCTCGAAAATTTGGAACAGGTTGAAGGATGATCCACAAAATCTAAATTTAACATCCAAATTTTATAAAAAAACTAGCTATAAATATGCTCTTCTTTTTTTATATACATATTTGTAATAATTATTCATAACCTGATTCAGCGAGAATAATACTATTCTGATTCTTCTATTTTATATTTAGATTAACATTGGTATTTTATCGACATGAGAACAAACAAAAAAAAATTCTGGTTTTTTTTTATTTGCTTAGGTTGTTGAGGCTTAGATTAAAAACTGGAAATCCACAATACATATGATCTGATCAAGTTAGATGATCTTAATCTGAGAATTTTACACGCAAACCAAAAAAAAAATTTTTAAATAATTTAAAAAAAATGTCAAAAAGATTTAAAGACCAAAATATACCAATTAAGATCCAATAAAGAAAAACATACCAAACATAATGAATAATAATATTATCTAATTTGAAAACTTTAATAAAAATGATTTACTGATAGAAAACTAATTTTTTTTTTATAAAATTATTTTTTTGTTCTTTTAAAAAAAAAATTTTTTTATAAAGTTTATAGTTTATAACAAAATGAATTCTACATGCTTTTTATCTCGTTAGTTAGGTTATTATTCGAATGCTGCTACTTTTTTAAAACAACAAGGAAAGTTATAGTTAATGCAAAGGCCTTTTCAATTTTATTAAGTTTTACAGTCCAAAAAGCTACTATTGCTAAGGTATTTACCATTAAAAAAATTGATTTTACAATATTTTATTTTTTGACTAATCATTTGATTTTCAACAATATAGTTTAACTTTTTAAACAGTCCAAAGCACTATCAACTAAACCAAATTCAAATATTATAAATGCTCGACTTTAGTGAAACCTAAGAAAATGTTATATGAACGATCAGATTGGCTAAAGGAAATGTATCAAAATTATTTTAAAGATGAAACAATTTCTATACTTGGATATAGATCACAAGGAAGTAGACAAGATTTAAATGCACGCGATAATAGATTAAATATTATTCTTAGACTCAGAGAAGGAAGGAGTTGAAATGAAGCCATGAAGAATGGTTGGGTATATATTAAATATTATCAATATGAAATATTTGACGTAATAGTTATGACATAATTTCACTTTTTACGTTTATCAATCAATATAAAATAATAAAATAGATTCCTGAAAAATCACTCTTTTCTATTAAAGAGACATTGAAAAAGGGACAATTATTTTTAATCTTTTGTCTAATGCTGCTCAAAAACAACTTTGACCCCAAATTAAATCACATTTAACAAAAGAAAAGACTTTATATTTCTCCCAAGGATTTTTTATTGTATATAATGATGATACTCTCATCATACCTCCAAAGAATATTGATGTAATAATGGTTGCTTCAAAAGGGTATATGTCTTCATCCAGAAAACAAATGAAATAATTTTTTTGTGAACCTTTTAATTACACAATGTAAAAAATAAATCATTTATCTATTTACTTTATTGTATATTTCTATAAATTAAATTTGGAATCCAAACGTCAGTAATTTAAAGTTATAAAATAAAAAGTCAATGTTATAGACAAATCTTTAAGTAAAAATTTTCATACATGAGAAATAAATAAAATTTGTTTTGTTAATATGATATGGTATGCTGTTACGTCACGTAAAATATTAAAATTGCATAATAAAATTAATTGGTCGATTCGTTAAATACCTGACTGAAACGTTAATTATGATTTGTTATTAATTATTACAAGTTATATTACGTTACATTGTTATCCTAGTTCTGTTAATTTAGGATTATCGTTAAAACTAAAAAATTTGCGTCAAAATTAAGCCGCAATACTATGATGATTGTTATAGAAATCAACTTTAATAATACTTTGCTTAGTTATTCATCGATTATGTAAAGAATGTTTTATTTTTCATCATTCATTTAATTATTTTTTATTTTTTTTATTTTATAATGCATCATTTTATTTATATTATTTTCATTTACTATTATTAAAATGGGTAGTTAATCATTACGCACGTGATATATTAATCGTTAGTATTAGTGACCCTAATTGTATTGTTTGTTAGTAATTTGCATAAATTGATCTGAGATTTGAAGATCAGCATAGGCTCTGGGCAAGTTGACCACTAGGCGAGTTGTCCTTTCAAAATTAGTGTATAAAAAGGTAGGATAGATGTTTGGGTTAGAAAAGGCAGTTTTTTCATGATATCTTTAATAATATAAAAATTCTTTGATATTCCAGATTTTTAGCCGTAGTAATTCGATATTTAATCTGAAGATGACGACTGATATATATAATTTTTTTATTGAATAATTATTGCTTCATTATTACATAATTAAATTAAAAATCCTCTGCTATTACATTTGTTTATAAATATACACTGATCGCAACACTATTATAAATGCGTTGTATAGTATTCAGTACATATAGATCTGTAATTTGACTAAAATAAGTTTTGTAATAAGTTTTGGTGATAGACTTATGGGCTCTATTGTTAAATAAAATATTACATTACGCTTGTTCTCATATAGACTGGTGATAACTAACTACACAATTGAATCATAATAAATCATTTATTTGTCGATATATACCTTGAAAAAGTTTTTCAGGATATTGTATCATTTGTCTGTTACCTTGGTTTTGATACAATTTATAGTGTAATTCCAGTTAAGGTTCCAACCTTTCTTACTACTCACTTTTGACGAAATATGATTGTTAGCATATCCCTTGATATAGCTGTTCAGAAAGACTAACGTTAAGCCTATATTTAAATTCACATGAATTAATGCTACATATAATGACCAATTTTCCTAACCCTTCTTACTCTGTTTCTATTCTTTATTTTTGCTTTCTTATTATTTAGAATTATTATCAATAAAGTGAAAAATTAATAGTAAAAAGTTGGACTTGATCTTTGGTTTATTGTCAAAGTTTGTGAAAAAAATAAATTGCAAAAGTTTTCAAGAAAACATATGTCTGCAAGAACGTCAATAAAGACATTAAATTAAGATAGGGTCGATTCATTTCACCGACATTCATTTTACCGACAAGTTTTTTATTGATAAATATATTTTTCAATATAAAAAAATTATTTACCAGTTTAATTAAAATTATTATATTTAAATTTGGTAAATTATTGCAATAATTAGATATTTATTTATTTCATAGCGATTTCTTTGGTTTTATATAAAAATGATGGATTGGATATTTTATAAAAATTGTATGCTGTAAATTTTATTTATTTTTATTTGGTTTTTTTGGTAAACTTAAAAGATAATATATTAGAAGTTTTAATTATAGTTCAATAAATTATTTCAGAATAATAAATGCTAATAATAGAATTAATAATTATTTTTGAACAATATCAATTACCGTGTCATGCATTTTCTGATTTATGATTTTAACCATCTTACTAAAATTTTCATCTATAAGGATTCTAATTTCATCTTTAAACCTTACTAAATCTTCGTAATCAATTTTTAACATAGAATCTTTTTTAGGATCATTTAACTTAGTCAGAATTCTTAATTGCTCAATATTTGGAGAATTATACAGGTCTAGATTATTATTTATGTCTTTAATCCTTCATTGAACTTTATTGATCGGCATCTTGTAGACTCTAATCAAAATAAAAAATAAAGGTGAACACGTACTGATAGAACGTATGCAATCAATAATGAATAAATAACTTACACCACATCCGAAAATTAATGTCACCACTTTCGTTGATTTTGTAGCATGTAAAATAACTCAATTTCAGCCAAAATTTTTGCTTTTTAAAGTATGAGCAGGCGATGAGTTCTTTTTTTTTCAATTTCTAAGTTAAGCAACCCAATAAATAAATTCATTAGATAAACTATGATCAAAAATGAAAACATGACTAATAAAATAGTCATGAATGGATTTTCCTAATATGCCTATGAGCTAAGTGCTGATGAATCTCCCGTTAAACAAATACATGGCCAAAAGTGAGGTTTGATAAGTAAAAAACAAATTTAAATTAGATTCTGGATGTTGAATAAAAGCTGTATTAGGACTGATAATTTTGTCATCTGAAGAAACTATTTGAAATTTTGCAACGAGATTTTAGGGATTATTCAGGTTATTATTTTGTTCAGGTTTGTCCAAATTATAATTTATAGCTGGTGAAAGGATAATATAAAACGCATGTGTAAATCCAATTAGATTATTAATAAGATAAATAAGAAAGAATGTATTCTCTTAGCCACACTAATGATAATAGTCAAATTAGAGCCAAAATAATCAAGAGCTTACAGTAATGTTATAAATTTAATGTTTACGAATAGATTGGATAGGAAAATAAGTGATAATAAAGATTTTTATCTGATAACCAAATGACAGCAGTGTAAACTGGGAGAATATATGCAGAAAGATCTAAAGATTAGCATTAATATATAAAATTATTTTTGGTTTAAAAATTATATCAAAATTTATTATACATACCAATTCAGTTCCATAAGTTTATGATATATTTTTCCGGATTCCAGATAAATTGTCTTATTTCATGAACAATATGAAATGTATCAAGAACAATGCTAATTATTAAAAATGTATTTCTTGTATCATTTATCATGATAAATGTAGACAATGTTGAACCTATTTCAAAAGAAAGTAAAAGCAAAGTAAATATCCCTAAGAAAAATGATAATAATTTCTCCCATAGGTATCCCATTTGAAATTAATGATTGCCTTAGTTAAAGATGGTACAGCAATTGATTTCAAATTTACAAAATGTTGCAATATAAGCTAAAATTAGTTGCAATATATGTTGCAACATTATAAGTTGCAACATATATAGGTTAAAACTAATTGCAACGTAAGTTGCAACATTAAAAGTTGCAACATATTAATTACAGTTCCTATCTTTAGCCTCAGTATTCTAATTATCATAAAATGCTTGGTCGTCTACTGTAATAAATGGGTTGGCAGTTGGTCTTAGTAATTCCATTAAGTAATTATAATCAGAGGAATAATTTGTAAAACCTAGATAAGGAATGACAAATCTAATAACATTATTTTTTGTTCGAATTTTCTTAGTTAATTTAATATTATATATAAAACTTCCAAATTTTTGAAAGATTTCCAAAATTCTTCAAATGCAATCATCATATTTATTATATACTTGAATAATATAAGCACAATATGAATAATCAACCAATGGCTTATTAAGTGAGGAATCTTTACTAAAATATGGACATATAATAAATGTGGTAACAGAAATGAACTTTGAGTATTGAATGGGAAAATGTAAACTTAATTTCAGCAAATAATTTGCGATAAGTCCATAAATTCTACATTTTATAATGGTAACTTCATTTGAATATTTCTTATATATCTCGTCAAAAAAATTATCTAATAATTCTTCAATCATATGCTGATTATATTCCGTCAAAATTTTTTCCTTCCATTCAATAACTTGATTGATGATTTCTTCACCCATTTCTACGAGATACTTTTTTGAATGTAAAAGTTCATTAATCTAACCTACTTGATGTGATAATTCACAGGATTTATTGTACAATTTGTTAAATTTTGGGAAAAGAAAGCTATATAGGCCAAAAGGGGGATACTGGGACAGATTTCAAATATACCTCAAATAGACCTCCAAACCCCGCCTACGAACTCAGTTTGCTATATGTAATATACTATTGTATTCAAACCTCTAGCGCTTTTTGACTCAAATATAGATAATGTTATCGAACTTGGCTATGAATTAGCCTGTCTGATACCAAGAATTATACTGTTTG